TATATTATTTTGATATAAGTTGTAATTACGACACATGGTGAAAATAGGAAAGAACTTTTGTAAATTAATACGCGCAGTTGGTAAATAGAAGGTATCATTATTTCTAATATGTAATCTTGGCACATGGAAGTCGAGTTCTGCCAATAAACTACTACAGTCAATCGAACCAGTAACTAATTTGTGCAGAAATATTAGTGATGAAGCAACTCTCCTTTGCTCCAGACTTTCTACGTTAAACATATCAAGCAGCGTTTCATGAGGGTAACCTCTGTTAGGATAATGGCCAAAGCTCAAGAAAAACAAAAATTTCAAAAATCGTCTCTGGATCTTTTCCAGAGCCACCGTATGGATGTTATAGCCAGGCGACCATATTATGCTTGCAAATTCTAACTTTGATCGAACAAATGAAAAATATAGAGGCTTGATTGTTTCATTGTCCTGAAATTGTCTACAATTCCGTATAATAAACCCCAGATTTTTTAGTGCACTTGACATTATTTGCTCGTAGTGGTAAATAAACGTCATTTTAACGTCGAATGTTACTCCAAGATCTCTAATAACATTTTTTCTGCAAACCTGGACATTATCAATACCATAGTCGAAAATTAAAACTTTTGATTTTAGTGAAAAAGTAACTACATTACATTTAGCAGAGTTAATTGAGAGGCCACATTGTTTACTTCTGTCACAAACTAACTGTAGATCGGCTTGCAATTTTAACTGATCTTCCCTGCTAGTAATTTTTCTAAATAATTTCATGTCGTCCGCATACAATAATGCCGGTGAAGTTAAATTATCTGTAATATCATTTACAAAAAGATTGAAGAATAGAGGCCCAAGAACAGATCCTTGTGGTACGCCGGACGTAACGTTAATTTCTGCTGACTCATAACCACTACACATAACACGTTGTTTTCTTCCCGTTAGATAAGTAGCAAAAAATATTATTAAGTTGTCAGAAAAACCAAAGGAGCTTAATTTGTCAAGTAATTTATAGTGGTCCAGTCTGTCGAACGCCTTCGAGAAATCTATGTAAATAGTGTCCACTTGGGTTCCTGCGTCAATATTTATTTTTCTGTCACAAATTGTGTGAACATACATAAGTTAGTTTCAACAGAACGGCCCTTGACAAAACCATGCTGAAGTGGAGAAATATAGGAATTAACATGGTTTATAATGACTGTGTGCAACAAGATCTCAAAAGCTTTAGAAAAATTACTAAGCAAAGTAATTGGTCGATAGTTCTCAATATGCTTTCTGTCACCTTTCTTAAAAATTGGACATATTATGGAGTCTTTCCAGAGAGTAGGGTATTTACAAACCGTAAGTGATAAATTGAATATTAGAGACAGAGGATGGGCAAAAATACTTGCGCAATCACGCAAAATAAAAGCGGGGATTCGATCCGGACCTGAAGTGAATTTATTTTTAATTTTACGTAATGCTTTATAAACTTCATCTTCGCTAAAGTGATTTGTATTAAGAATATTAGGGGTAATAATTTTTGACTCTGTTTTCATATTATTAAAATCAGATTCAATATATGATTCCTGAAAGAACGATGCCAACGTGTTCACAATAGGTTTAGCACCCAATAGCTCTGTATTTTGATATGTCATAATTTTTGGAAAATAGTTCTCTTGTCTTATACTCTGTATAAACGACCAGAAATGAGATGGATCAGTTTTTATTTTATTTTCGATGTTATGTATATAGTCTCTATGAGATTTACAGATTTCATTTTTTATTTGAAGTCTTAAGGTTTTGAATTCATTGTAAGCATTTTGATCTCTGTGATGCTTATACTTTTTCCACAACTTAAACTTTTTTTTTATGTTACTAATAATAATTGTATGACTATACCATGGAGGAAATTTCTTTTGTTTAAATCGATTAGTTAACGGTACTGAAACTTGGAAAATACTATTCAGTTTGGTGTAGAATTGCTCACATGCAATGTCAACATCCCGACAGTTTTCTAAAAAAGACCAGTTAATTTTGGATAAATCGTTATATAGAATTCTAAAGTCTGCCTTGCGGAAATTATATGTTTTGAATTCAGAATTTCTTATACATTTTTGTTTATTATTAGAAGACTTTTGTTTAATAGGAATTGTGATTTCTAAGCTGGGATGGTGTGAATCTTCTTTAAGTAATACATCATGTGCCTTATCCACGTGACTGTGTATCTGGTCTGACAGGACTAAATCCAGTAATCTATTATTAAAATTTAGTATTTTATTGTATTGAACAAAGTTTGAAATTTGCACAAAGTTAACTAAGGCATTCGTTCTTCTATCGGTAGCTTGAGAATTATTCAAATAATTTGTGTAGTTTGGGATGTTAAAATCACCTACAATTAGAATATTGCTACCTAGACTTAGGCAAAGAGAACTGAGAAGTTCGAAAAAATTATCTACATCGTTAGCAGTTGTACGAGGCGGGATATATATTAAAATTATGTAAAAGATAGAATGATCAATTGTGATTTTTACTACCAAAACATCAATTGTGGATACAGAATTAAAGTCTATACCTTGTGTGGTGACAAGACATGAAGGAAATGAACTGGAAACTGCGAGCAACACTCCTCCACCTCTCGAGCAATCGGTTGTGAACTTTCTATCTGCTCGATATATAACATAGTTCTCATTAGAAATTTCTGAATTACTAACTGTATCATTTAAAAATGTTTCTGTCAACGCTACTATATTATAATTTGAGTCTAAAATTGAGTTATAAAGTTCCGCTAATTTCGTGTTTAAGCCTCGGACATTTTGATAATAGATGTTAATATTAAAAGTGGTATTTGTATTTGTATTTGGAGAAAGCATATTTTGCATCTCGTAAGTAGTAAAAGAAGAAGATGCATTTAAATTTGATTGCTACAAAGACAAACCAAACAAATCGTGTTTGAGTTTGTTTACAGTCTGTTGGTATGTATGACAGTTATTATAGTCCCAGGCTGCATGATTTTCGTCGATAATGAGATCTCCATTTTTTGTTTTAAAGTTGATGCAGTTTATACATTTCAAATTTTCAGCAGAACAGTCACCAACTACATGCTCATTTGCACAACGTGGACAACAAATTTTGTTTTTACAATTCGTTGATGAGTGGTTATATCCATTGCATCTGAAACACCGTGTTACTTCGATAGCACTATAAATTGAACAGGTATCAAGACCTACTAAACAATGTCCAACTGCAACAGCCTTTTTATAAGTAGACATGTCAACTTCGATTACAGCCTGGAAAGATTTCTCTTTTTTTTTTACCGGATAAAATTTTAACATTTCATATTCTGTAGTGTCATTATCAAAAATAAACTCATTTTGTTTCACAAGGTAGGATAATACATCTTCTTTTTGAATAGTGTCTGAGATTCCAGCAATTCTTATACGAGGTTGGATCTTTTTAACTTCGCGCACATTATAATTCTGCGAGAGCTTTTCTTTAGCAATTTCTTTAAATTTGGATATGTCTTCACAACCAAGTAACAAACCGCCATCTTTGAGATTTTTAACTTTGCCTATAACTAATGACGATTCAATGGGATTTACATTATTCAGTAGGTATATCACTCTTTGTTTTAGATACATTTTGGGTTTTATCTTTAGGCTTCACTATTACTTTGTTCTGCGAATTTTTTGCAATACATTCGGCGTAAGTTGTTTTAACATTCAACACTTCCTGATTATGTTCTGACTCCTGCGTATTATTTTTTTCTATGCTTTTACTTAATTTTGAAATTTCAGACTGCAGTTGTAAATTTTGAGTACTTAGTTTTTGAACCTCATTTACCAATTCAGCAACTTGTTCTTTTAATGGCACTACTTGACATTGTACTATGGCTTCGACTAATTTAGTAAACTGATCAACAGGTAAATTAATATTATTATGTTTGAGATCTTCGGAATTACCATCTTTAGTCGTGACATCAACGCCAGCGGCATTTTGCATAGTGTTGTTACATTTACAGAAGTTACAGACCCAGGTTGAAAGTTTATCTTGCTCTATCAGTTTTTCGTAGGCTTCGTCAGCAAAACCACTACATGTCAGATGAAAGTTTGATTTACATTTTTTGCAGGATATGTATGATTCGAGGCGTACATTAACATTCCTGTTACATTTTGCACATTTCACAGGCAGTTTTATGTCTATACTTTTTTAATCACCGTAACGAGTTGTAAAACAATGCTGCAATTACACTGTTCCCCCGAAGGGGGACCCTGGTGGAGCGTTATTTATAGCACGATTTTACAAAAAGTCTGCGAGCGTTACCAAGAAAAAGTATGATAACGTACAGGTGGTATCTCCTTAAATGTTAAAAGAAAACGCGAACTTACTACTGATATGAGTAAGTATCGTGATTTTTAAATTTAATAATAAATTTGTACTTATCTTATGTTTGCACACAATAACTGGAAACACAACCGTACTACACCGTGTCTCGAAACCTTGATTAATATGACATGTTCCTAACAAAACAGCTTTTTGAATTTTGACAATTATTGAATCATTCAAATGCAAAGACTTTAAATTCTCAACTAAGCTATTTGGAACTACACCTACATTAGAGATAACTAGGGGTAGAATTGAAATTTTTTTAAGATTCAACATGGATTTCATTTCTATCGATAATTGTAGATATTTTGAAATCTTGGTGTGGTATGTTTGAATAATATTGTTTGTGTTAGGAACAGCAATGTCAATGAGAATGGCTTCGTTCGTGTGTTTTTTGATAAGTATGATGTCTGGTCTGTTAGCTGTAATGTTTAAGTCTGTAAGTATTGTGCGATCCCAGTATAATTTGTATTTGTTATTTTCAAGGAACGGAGATGGAATGTAAGTGTAATAGGGTGTCATATCTTCGATTAAGTTCATAAGTGTTGCTAATTCTTTGTTATTATTATTATTAATAATATTATTAACTTAGGCCCGGGAAACAAAAATTAGGGAATATTATTAAAAGTTGTATTAATCATATAAAACTTTACCTTCTTCTTCAAAAAATGCAAAAAGAAATTGAGAAGAAAAGATTTGCCTGTCCTGTAGCTTCCATTGACTGAAATGACACAAACTTTGTACTTTTTGATCTTAGAGTTTTTTAGTAGTAACTTCAGTGGATCTTCGTAAAATATCATTTTTCCCTTCTCTGGATCGATTTTGAATATTCGGATGGCATCTTGTTGGTTACTCTAGAAAAATTATTCAAAAGATATGCCATTTGTAAAATTTAATTTCCAAATATAAAAAAGTGAGATATTGATTTTGTAAAGATGTGATAAAGCTGTTTTAATGTAAGTCGACCACTGATTGGACGACTGTAATCAAAGATAATATCTTTGTGCAATGTTAAGATTTCTGATTATTTAGGATACGACACCGCTCAAATACTTACATTATCTGGAAGGATGGACACACTTGTAAATGAACGCTTCATAGTACCTGAACTTGAAGCCATTCTGAAGCACTTTATTTAGATTTGCACCGAATGCTGCTGCTGGTGTGGTTTCTTTAACTCATTTCTGTAACAAGGACTGGTTCCTTTAGAAGAGCTTCACCTGAACTATTTTTTTACGCTCAAAAATTTCTTTTATCAGCTTCTAGTTATCTTTAATTTAAATTATCGGCGTATGATTCCATAGGTCAAGGAAGCAACTTTTCGGTAAAGGTTGCATGTGAAACTAAGCGTCAACTCTTCGTTTTACTGCTTGAGCAATATCTAACGGGGGTTATGTTTGTTAAATAGAATTTCTTTTTATAATAGTACTTTGCAGTTCAAAAAACCTGTTTAATTGAAACTAAAATGTGTTGTTTTCTATATTCTCTTTTTATTAAAAAAATTTCTTGAGAATATCTTCTATGATTCCCTGTTTATTTTTGTATTTTTGTTGTTGATGATTATTAGGCAAGTTTTTGGCTGAAGTTTTACAATTTTGAAGACGATGATAAAAAAAAATACGTGGAATTTTTAAATCAGATAAAAATCGTTATTAAACAATTCCTAATTTTAAAAAATATCAGATTATTTATCGATACATGATTAAACAACAATAGCGAAGATAAAAATTAAATTTAAAATTCTGGTCGGAAATATACAAATGTAGGGACTGCTTCCCTTAATTTTTAGTAATTTGAGAACTAATGGTAGTTATGTGTGTTCTCCACGGTATTTAAAAACTGTGATAATCAAGTCTTCTTATGTTCTTTCATCAGGGACGTATCTCAAGAGGTAGAAGGCAAAATACCTTATTTTATGGATCATGTTATATTTAAGTTTAATCAATGCTGATGTCATAAGTAAAAATCAAGATCTAGATTACACGACACCACAAGCTCTTGGATTCTATAAATGAAAATTACCTAAAACTTCGTCATCTTTTTCATAATTAAATGCCTTTTACATTACTACTAGGTTGAAAATCAGAAGCTTTTATCAAACTCTTAGGGTTGAAATGGCCAATACATCAAGAGAAAACCAGAGTAAGCTTAGGGATTACCATTGTTACTTTAAATTCCGTGGATGGTGTGAAAAAATTAGGTAACAAATTCGTGTCGAAAACTGCACTGGTATTTGAAGGTTATTCCAAATGTTGGAGAACTTGGAATACCCACCCACAGCTGTTTACAACAATTGTTATCAACTGTGTATATTTTTAAATTTTTCTTGTGAGTAACGCTTGCCGTTTTAGCTTTTTCACATGAACGATTCAGTACTTAGTTTTCAAGAAGGCCTTATTATTAGAGATGTACCGACTGTAGGTCTGGCCGACTAACCGACTGGCCGATTGTTCGGCCAGTAAAAACCGACTAGTCGGCCGACTGTTCGGCTTTGCTAAAACCGGTTTATAAATGCGACAATATGTTTTTTTTTTCTATTTCTCTGGCTACCTTAAAGGTTTGTTCTATTTTAATAAAAGGAATAACTAAAGTTCCTTCGTTTTCCAAAAAATGTGTTAAGTTTGTTTGGATAATTTTAACATTTAATTTTTTTAGTAACTCAGTACAAAAATAAAGAATAACACAATTTAGGGCCAGTTTATACAATATTTTAACTGAGTTTAAGTTGATCGCGCATTTAACAAGGCCATTAGCGACGTCTGATTGGCGTAGAGTCGGTCACATGATACTTTAACGCGGGGTTAAAAATTAAATCGCAATTAAATATTTAATTGAGGTTCTGTAAACCGGGTTTAATTGTTTTATATACTATTTTAATTTTAATAAAAAAAGCCGACCGATCGCCTGTTTAGCCGACTAGTCGCCGACTGCAGCCGACGATGAAAAACGGCCGAATAGTCGGCTTATCCGACCGGTCGGCTACTAGTCGGTACATCCCTACTTATTATCTTTTATTTTTACTGTTCAAGTATTTGTGGCTTATGAATTCACACTGATTTTTTACCCTAGATTTTCTCAAAAAATCCCAACTGTATAACCGTATGATTAATAGTGTTAATCTTTTCGATTTCCAGATTTCTCGCTTTATCACCGGCTTCTATTTACTCGACGTCTAATAAGGTCAATTCAACAATGAAATCTTGTGGTAGTAGAGACTGCTAGCTACCGGGGAAAACTGTCACGCTGACATTTGTCGTACCTGACACATAGTTGTTCACAAATTAGATTTTTATCGATTTATTAGACTTATTTTATACTTGAGGTATCAAAACATCAAATGAACAACAACCAAAAATAATAGATATTTATTTTATTAGGAGTTTAAGTGATACTTTATGTGTCGAGTATGGACGATTAAACGCCGAGCGATAGCGATGCGAATTAAGTCCATACGAGTCACATGAAGTCACTTAAACTCCGAATGAAATACAATATTTTATTTTCAAACGATTAATCTTCTTTTGTAATGATTATTTCCTATCTTCTTGCTTCATTAAGGAATTGCCTTGATTTCACTTACCATGGTTACTATGGTTGACAAGCACTATGATTTTCACATATTTATACTCCGGCGGAGTATAAATGTGTTTATTCTATTTTAGAACCATAATCTTATTTATAAGCACCCAAATGCGGGCTTAAATTGGTCTTTTTAGCACAAATCTGTCAAAAATTGCTAAGCAATAATTGATTGTTCATTTACACTAATCAATTAATTATTCAAACACGCTTCGATATTCAACGTTTTTCTTAAGTTGGAAAAATAATATTTTATCAAATCATTACCTGACCGACTTCAAATTCTTCTAAACTTTCGTTTGAATAAAGGCTTTCCGCTTCTTTAATTTACATTTTGAAAAACGAATTATCAAATAATCAACGTGGTATCCATAACAACATCAAAATAATAGCCAGCTATGTATTAAAATTCGCATCGGCACAATTCACACAGTCTTGCCGAAAATACTCAATATTTCGTTGAAAATAGTTTAGAAACTAAAATAGAATAAAACGTTGTATGTACCACGTGCATAATTGTCGATTGTGGCACTCGGGAAATTAAAAGCCCTCCTTCGTCGGGCTTTAAACAATCCCTCGTGCCACAATCTCCCTGATTATGCCCTTAATACATAAATAACTATATTTATACGCCGGCGGAGTATAAGTAGTACTTATGCGCCGCTCAAACACGGTGTCATAGAAATGACACTTAAACCCCGGTAAGAGCGTCATATAAGTGTCAGTTATATGACGTTTGAAAATAAAATAAGTATTGCTTTCATTTCTATCATATCTAAAGGCCTGACAACTATCTACCAAGTACGTAACAGTGGCGCGCGCGAGAGAGGGGATGCCTTGGCGTAAACGTGTCGGACGGTCGGGAGCTGCTACCCGATATCACGATGGTCGATGTTTATTACTTGTATGAAGCCCTCAGTGTTTACGTCCACGTGCAGAGTGGTCATTTGGCAGGTCGTATTAGCTATAAGCGTCTTTTATAATTTTGAAGAATACGTTTAGTTTTAATTTTTTATATTTATTTGTTACATCAGTTTGCAAACACGCGAGTATCAGGTCCCGCCACTGCACTCGATGTAGCTGACCGCATCGAGTGGTCGACACTACTGCGCGCGGAGAGTGCTACACAATAGCTGGGGGATTGCATTTGGTGGATAAGTGTCAGGCATAGACAAAACAACGTTCAAAGGAGTTGATCTCACAGAAATGAGTAATGGTGGACCACATGCAACTGCAACTTTCCATAAACAGAGCCACGTGATGCGCGGTTTTCATTTTTACATTTACTCAATGTCCAGACGGCGAATTCGCCATGTTTCCAGATTCGTCATATGTTTCTACGCGTCTTATCTGAGTTTGTCTATGGTGTCAGGACAGTGATCATATCCGACACCGCTTGATCTTGAATAAACTTAAATCACTGCTGCAGCCCTTGTGTTGCGTTTGTCGATCTGATTACACGCTGACATTTTTGGGAAGACTTTTCCAATAAATCAATAATAATGCTTTCAAATAACATTACAGTTAAATTCGTACGCCAATAAGCAACATTTTTAACAACTCAACCGCACGATGCAACGCCATTCCTTTTCTCTTGGATGATGAAGATGGAGGGCTCACAAGCCGACTGCTTAACTGGTGACAGGATAAAAAATTAATTTTTCCAAGTTTGTGAGAATTGAACAGAAATGTTGATAAAGGCACACATGCAAGTTCTGAAATAATAGTAAAGTGTTTGTATTTCTTAACATAATCGGATTGACACATGACAGTTCTCGATAATTAATAAACGTTAAAATATGAACGAACCGTGTCGTCTCTAGCTAGATCACAGTAAGCTAGATCCTCTAAAGCCACTAGATGTATTATTACTTTTAGACACAGAGAGAGGAACCTAACCTATGTGCTAGACAAAGATAGCGCGAGACTAGTAATTTTCGCTATCAAATGTAGGAACTGTCAAAGAAAGTTTGATGTGTTTACGATTGAAGGTTACGACAGACTGTACTAGAATTATCTAGTTAACGGACCGAAAAGAACACTATTCCAGTCCCAAAGTAACTCCAGCCCTATACAACGAGAACTAGATAATTCTAGTACAGTCTATCGTAACACTGAGTCTCCGTGGTGAATAGACGTGCCGAATTTCGGTGTTAACTAAACTTAACAAAAAATTAATTGTTAAACAATATGACGCGTAGTAACACTAAACTTAAAAGTGACGCAACTAGTGATCCTTATGAAGACCTGAAATCTTACATCGCTCAGCAACTTAGTGATGTAACTAGTAAATTACTAGGCAAAATTAATGAACTTCAAGAAGAAGTACAAACAATGAAAGAGGAAAACCGTAATCTAAGATCCTTGTTACAAGCAGAAAATAAACTCCCTTTAAATTTTTTTGATGACAATCTCGACGTAGGTACCTGTCGAATTAGATAAAAGTGATATGACAGTCATTGAGCAAAACAATAGGTAAACCACGAAAAAACGTAGGCAAAAGAAAAAGCAGAAGTAATATTAATAAGCAACAACGTCTGTTTCGTATATACGTTTACGATTGCGGGAAGTTAGGCAAGCAGCAATTCATGTCCACCCTCTTATTGCCTACCCTTAATTACCACGCTAAGATCATCCCCACCCACACACGAAGGCCGCCCTCTAGTAGAAGAAAAATTCAAAAACAGAAGAAACGGTTGATGTTCGTTAAGCATCAAGGCTGCAACACCTCGTGGTGGCCTTTTTTGTCGTCGTTGTTATTTTGTTGGTGCAAGAGGCCCCCTCGCCTCCTAATCGTAGAATCAAGTGAATCGTAGCGGAAGATTGGTGCAATTAGGGTGCGTCCGTTGTCCATTTTCCCCATATTGTTGTTTGTATATATATAACTTGCGTCGTAAACATATGGTCCTTCGAGCCGGATTGTTTAATTACCTCATGGTTTACAGTATATTTGTTTCGTGATACACTGCAAAAGCTGTTTATATATTTCGCGTGCACGCTTTTGCGTCTATTTCTTTGTTCAGTAGAATTGGTAGGGTTGCTTGACCTTAAACAAGGGTGCTAACGGAAGCGAAACACGTGTTCGTAAGATTTGCGTTGTGTTGAGACAGGTTCGTAAGATTTGTAATGGCGGTAAAACTGAAGGAGGCTAAAGCAATGCGAGCCCTTGCGTATAATCAGATGGTAGAGATCCACGACGTGGCCTCCTCTGCGTTGCTGCAGATTACGCTCAAGTGTTTATTGTCATTTCGGTATCAGCGCGTTGAGGACGTTGTGCAGGATTTTCGAAAATATCACACGTCGGATATTTCTTGTCTGTCTAGTTCAACCGAACCAGATTTTGAAAGCGAAGATGCGGTGAGGAAAGAATTTGATCGGTTATATTGTGAAACCGGAGTCGCATATAACGAACTTTTTCCCGCGTCCTCGCCATTGAATACTCCCACTCCTAATAATCATAGTCAAACAATGAGACAAACTAATATTCGTTTACCAAAAATCTCGTTGCGAAACTTCCATGGCGATTTTGTAAAATGGTATCCGTTTATTCAAACATTCAATACGGCCATTCATAATAACGAATCATTACCACCCGTTGACAAATTTCAGTATTTGCTAAGTTGCCTGTCAGGCGAAGCGTTAAACCTGATAAAATCGCTGACATTATCAGAGGATAATTATCCGATAGCATATAAAATTTTAACAGACCGGTACGACGATAAACGATAACTGGCTGCTCAATTTTTTCACGGGATTATGTCCATCCCAAAGCTAACAAAGGAATCTGCAAAGGCACTTCGCTCAGTTCTCGATAGCTTCAAAGAGCATCGCGGGGCCTTGGAAGCGTTAAAAATTGCTGACAATTTAGAAGATTTTCTGTGGTTTAGCATTCTATTAGACAAGGTAGGCGTGAATACTAGGAAAGCCTTTGAGGCCGAATGTCGGACTCAGAAGATTGATTTTGCAACTCGCGAGGATCTAGAAACCTTTATTGAGTCGCATTGTAAGGTGTTAGATTGTTGTCCGGATCCCGCAGGAGTTGCTCGCCTGAAATCGTTTAATTTAGGTGGCCCTAAAGGTCACAACAAGGCGTCATTTGTTGTTACGTCGAATCCAGTAAATAAATGTCCGCTTTGTTCAGAAGCTCACAACGTCATAAAATGCCCAAAATTTGTACAAGCGTCGCCCTTTGATAGATATTCATTGATAAAATCCACCAGGACTTGCTTTAATTGCATTAAAGATGAACATGCGGTGAATAAATGCCCATCAAAAGGGCGCTGCCATGATTGTGGTGGGCGACACCATACGTTATTGCATTTTAAATCACGTAAGACCTTGCATGCGCCTTCGGAACCTGATGCCACGGAGGCAGATACAGACAGCACTCCGGCAGAGTCCCTCACTTCTTGCATTGTTGATTCACTTGTCAGTCCCTTGAGTTACAAAAAAATATATCTTGTTAGCGACCATAGTGTTGGAAATTCGCGATAGATCCCGGTAGCCAGGCTTCTTTTATTGAGAGCTCGAGTCTCAATAAATTGGGCCTGCTCAAAACCAGATCAACAGTGTCGATTTCTGGAGTAGGCCAAATTATGACAAATGCGTCACACGTTACATTTACCCAGATACGACCGCGCAAAATTCGGTAGCCGATTCTAGATGTGGAATTACATGTTCTGCCACGAATTTGCGACAAGCTGTCGGCATCACCAATAGACCCGTCACAATCTCGGCTTCAGTTTTCTCGGGGGCTCGATCTCGCGGATCCCAGCTGGTATAAACCGGGTCCCATTGATGTACTGTTAGGGGCAGACATATACTCGGCGAATGTTTGCAACCACGTAGTTGACCATTGTGCAACACCCGCCATGGTTAAGACTATCTTCGGGTGGGCCTTGCTGGATCCGATTCAATCCATGTCGTTACCGTCTACGTTGAGAAAGTGGGCTAGCAATCGTGTAGAATTGTTGGAAGATATTCCCGAGGGCCACAAGCAGCTACAACCCTCCAATTTTGATAGGGATGACGATGAGAAGACTGGAACACCCAATGGCTCAAGGGGCTACTAGGTTTTCCAATGGAATGGATCAGCACTGGAAAAACAAAAAACAACAGCAAAGGCACAGAATCTCACAGTTAAAAATACAACCTGTTGTTCGAAGCGGTCAGAAGGAAGTGGCGCGATTTCACAAGGGATGATGCCACTCTCGTCTTCCGCGCATGTCCCTCTTTCTTGGTGTGGTTCGTTGCCAACCTCTTCTTCTCATCAATCCCCAATAGCAAGCAATATTTTTCTAATATTTATACAAGATTGATATAATATTAAATGTTGACTAGATATTACAAATATTTTTATAATATTTATTTTATATTTATAAATTTATATATGAATTTCAACATATATTACATATTTATGAAATGTCGTTTTATCAAAATACCGAACAACAAAAATGAAAAAAAAAGTACCATGTTGGGACAACTTGTAGGTAATTTATTTCATAGGATTTTTATTGGAGCAATACCTATTAAAAATTGATTTGAGAAAATACCAGCTATTGTGAAATTGACACTATTCGAAATCTGGCTTTGCACACTATTAATTGCTCATTAAAAAGTAATATTTTTTTTTATTTTTGCGAACAAAAAATAACAATTTTATTCATCATTTTTATAAAACTTACTTAAATTTGCGTTTCACTTACAGATGCGCTTGCTCTGCTGGAACGCGTTTGCGCAATGTGCAACATATAAAAAAAAAAAATAACTGTGTAGTTTAGTATTTTTTTACACCTCCTTATTTTACTTTATCGACAATGCAATAGTGACTGATCTGTCAGTTGAGACGTCAAGCACCGCATAAATTTGAATCGTTTCTATGAGCGCGTTCTATCGCAATATTTATGATAAATTATGTTCTTACTGAGTGGAGAAGTCAGAAGAACAACTTAAAAGCACCCAGCAGAGATCCTAAAAGAACGTATTTATAAATATGTCTAGGGTAAATGCTATGGCAGTGACGAGAGCAAGAGGAATTATCCACCTATTTTTCAATATTCCTACCACTGTCAGTATTTTCCAATTGAACTGGCGTGGGGGACAGTGTAAACTATATTACAATAAACATATTCGGGAACACGGTGGCGCTATTGGTGTTGTATGTCCTTAAGGCGGGAGGCTCTTGCTACAGTAGGTGCAGACAAATGGCAAAATATTATTAGACATTGTGAACGGCTGATCAGGGATGATTGGAAGCGTTTAATGAGGTAATGCACCATATGAAGACATGCCCCCCAATCATAATTTCTCTCGATTCTGATTCTGATTCTGAATCAGAATGTTTTTCTAATAACTTGTCAGCTTGTCACTTTTTCATTTGGCATTTAATGTCAACAACAATCAGCATTAAGCCCTCAATGCAAACGGCTCTAAAGTCCTTGCTATGTACAGCAGCAGTGTTGAAACATGAGAGTGAAAGCAATGTAAATTCTGTGTTTTCTGTTATATAACATACTATTTAGTTACATTTTCTTTTGTTTACAATATCATAGACGAGTACAACACAGATGTACAACAAAACGTGTTGTTTACTGTAACGTCCGCGACCCTACAGTTTTGTGAGGGTTGTGATCTCCGCTAACTACACTGGTAAGTTGTCGACCTTGAAATTTGCTTAAATTTTGAAAAATAATATAAGAGTAAATTTTTGAGTTTTGCGTGTCTTTGACCTTTGCGCCCATTTTGAAAAATAATATATACATATTTTCTGTTATTGTTGGTGGTTCAAAAAGTGTTTTGTGTAAGTTCATGGTGTTTGTCCTATTGTGAATTGTGATTATCGGTACTGCGATAAATTCAGAATAGTGTAAACTCAAATCCATAAGGTTGTAACCACTCCCTAGTGTAAATTTTAAAAAATTATTCAGTGTAAATCTGTTGTCTTTTAGTATACTGGTGACATATCTGGTGACCTGTCAATATAATGTCAATTCATTCATGTATTCGCGACACATGATTACGTTCGACTTCACTGCAATTCTTACACTCCTGCACAGGTTATTTCATAATTACCATTGTAACTTGTCGCAATATTGTAAAAATTTATAAACAATTTTCAATAAAAACAGGATAACCTGAGTCTTCATGGTAATTATGATACAAGAGCAACGATAAATAGAAACGTATTTTATCTTTCATCTGTAGAAAGAAGAATGCCACCTGCTGTAATTTAGACTTGCAGTCGATACGTTTACGAATTAAAAATATTGTGGTCACGAAAGAGATCAAATATTGGGCTGGTAAGAAAACAAGGTGAATTGATTTATTTATTGTTGCTGCTTCATAAAAATCACTTTACAGATGGGGAATAACAGAGATATTCAGAATTTGTTTAAATTATTGTACATGAGTATACGTGATAATTATATGTCTGGCTAACTATGATATGATATGACTCGAAGGACCAGCTCTCTCGACTGAAGTGATCAATCTCGCGAGCAACACCAAAATTGTCTATAATGGGTAATTAATTAGTCGCAACCGATGACCAATTTTTCATCAAAAAAATGGTACACCAACAAGTCTTTAATGTTATGTTTAATAACTCTAATATTTAGTACTACTTATTATTTACAAAATGTACAAGGAATTTGGTTGAAGGCGATAGGCCTGGCTATGCTCCTCCGTCCTGAGGATTTTAGTGGTAATAATGAACAAAATGTAACTTCACAAAATTCAGAGGCTAAAATAATAGGTATGTTGAAAATAATTTGACGGCTTATTTAAACTTACTGTTACAGGAGTGGTTAGAAACATTGGGAACACAGACCAAATAACCAAAGAGCAATTATTTTTCTGTTGTTAACTTTCTTAAATCTGAATCCCATGGATTTTAAATACTCAACGTAAAGTATTGAAACTTGCTGTATATTCTGGATGTTCTTTCGCAAAAATAAAGAAATCCTGAAGAGTAAAAAACTCATTTTTTTTGTTTTTGTCAAATATACGGTAGGTTAGATCTTCTTTAAATTCCAAATTTGAATACCACTGCGATTTTTGTTTTGGTTTCCACTTTGCTTCTTGTAACGGTTCTCCAGATTGGTGTTGGGTTATAATTTTGTGGGCTTGACATCGGGAACACTATGGAAAGGATAGGAATTAATGATAAGTTTACAGGGAAAGTATGCAGTGCTTGAATTTAATGAGGGACATTTAGTTGTATTGTGTAGGATATAAAGAGTGGGTATAAAACTTGAAAAGACAATGTTGTACTAAAAAGCGAGATATACACTCTCAACTTGAGGTAGTTAAAACTAAAAGTCCTTCGACAGACCACCATGTTGTAATAACATGAAAAAAGTTCCGAATGTCGATACGTTACTCTCATAGTATAGTACTCTCTTTCCATGGTATAAGAATAACTACATACTGAAAAGATTTTTACAAGCTTGAATTCAAGTTCTCGGGAGGATGCTTGGGGATAAGCAAGTTTCAATTCATTGTGGCAGTTGGCAAGTGCCATTTTCATCTGCTTATTTATCATAATATGCCGTGTTAGTACCATTTTTCAATGATATGGTTTAATAACAAACTGAGATATTTAAATAAAACTCTCTCGTGCGTAATTGTCAAATTTTGACACATGCGCCGTTACCAATCTGTTCATGTGAAAAACACCATTGGCTGTAATGCCAACCTTACAATTTAACGAGTGGTTACAACCTTATGGATTTAACTCAAGGTTAGTTAATAGAGAACAGGTTACCACATAAACGAGTATGTGGGCAAAATCGCTTACGGGGGAGGAGAGGTGTCAGCCCCATGTGACGTCAAAATGAGGTTGGTATTACTTGGGAATTTTTAGTAACTTGTAATTTTGAGTTGGTGTGACCGATCAGCTGATGCCTTTAATCTGTACGATCTGTACCGCTAATTCTGACGTTTGGTGTCAGTACTGCGACTCGTGTAACTCTATTTTGCCTCGTGTTTTATGTACCACCAAAGTATTTGCTCTGCGTAGTTTGTAGTTAGCTGTTTGATGTATGTAAATAAAAATTATTATAAAATTTTATGTATTTTTACTTACCAGTAGTGTTAATGTTTAGTTGTAATATTTTCACAAGTTTAATATTACAGTGAATTAAAGTGGTGTTTGCCTAACAATAAAAAAAATTAAATTTATTTGTGTTTAAGCTAAAAGAAAATGTTTTGATATATTACTAGAAAGGAAAAAGTAAACCAGTAAATGCAGATTTTCAGATTCTTTTGCATAAAAAAAATCAGTTAATAGTGTCGCATTTGTTATTTTCAAGTTCTACTGGCAGCAAAACATTTTTCTTGAGGTTTATTAAATTGTTCTTTACACAGGATTGAAATTTGCGAAGTAGAAGCGTTCACTTGATTAAAAGTTTCCGTTTTTAGTGCGTTACTCGAGTATTTAAAACGGGCAATTTTCGCGCCATTTGAGAGCCCCTTGTGACGTATCAATATGGCATCCCAATGTGACAACCTTATCTATTAAATGACTTTGGATTTAACTGTAGTAAATACCGTTTTGTTAAGAAAACAGCACTAAACCTACATAACCTCACTTCTACATGCAATGCAGAAAATGCAATTTCTCAACACGTAAGTATATTTAAGAGGTTTAATATTACTGAATATAAGCATATTATTAATGTAGAGACAAAATGATGAATGTCCGGGCGCAACCAAAAAAAAGAAGAAATCGAGTTAGAAATTGCGGGAGATACGCAGAAATTGGATGAATTGGTAAGCATTTATTATTATTATTATTAACTTACTAGTTAAGTTATAAACTAGTTTCAGACTGATAATAATGTTTATTTGTCAGGAAGAGAAGACGTAAAAAATATGTATGCAATTTTGAAGAAATTATTAATAATGAACCAAATTGCTTTCAAGTTTTCAAGGCAAGGAAAAAAATAAGCTCTCTTTTAGTGAACTCACAAAATAACAAGGCTACAATATGTCAAGTAATGTGATTTCTTAAAAACTACGAACTTTGTAAGTTAATTTAATTGTAGGTACCACACGGAAACGTCAAAAAAACGCCACAACTACTGAAATTTAAAAAATGGTGGGACCTCAGAAATTTAAAAAATGGTAAGACCTCATTAAGCGCAGACAAAAGCAAGAATGAATTCTCATCGAAAAAAACATGAGGTATGATTTTTTTTATTTTAATTAATTATATCGCTTTTCAATGAATTGGTTATAGAGCAAATAATTATTAATACATATTTTTGTATAACGATTGAAATGTAGCAGAAAATTGTTAATTCCATTGACAATGTATTTTTATTTCATTGTAAGTTGGCAGTGTAGTTTTATGTTTAAAAAATTTATATTGTGTTTCACATCAGGTGATTTTTTAAATTTATGGTCTGGTTGCCCATGAAGCTTATGCTAGCAGTTTCAGTTTCGCTGCTGACATAAGTGTCATGGGTAACTACAGCAGAAATAAAAAAAAATCACCTGGTACAAATTTTCAACGAATTGGTTCTAGGACAAATAATTTTTAAATGTATAAATATTGCCGCAACGTTTCAAATACACTGTTATTTCCAGTGACAATGTTTTTTTGTGTTTATTTAATAAATTTTATATTGTATTCCATGCAAGTTTTTTTATATCCATACCCCCTTTCATATGAAGAACATTTATTAAATGTTCTGAACTAAATAAGTATTAAACATTGAAAGTATTATGAGTGGATTTATTTTGATATCCTAAATTTTGTGATGGAATATAATCAGGATGGTCCACATCCGACAAATCTACAGGTTTACCTAAAAGAGCACCAATGTAGTAATTTGTTAGAAACTGTCAATCTAATAGGTAGGTACTGTACCTAAAATAAAATGATCCGAACAAATATAGGAATACTTTACTTTGGCTTCGTTAAATCCACTCGTTTCAAGGCTTTTAACCAAAGCTTCCGCCTTTTTCCCCATCCTGTATATATTTACCTTTATTGTTGCTAATTGCTGCGAAAGGAAAATAAAATTTGTCCGCATTTCTGGTGCTTTGATTCGCGCAACCCACAACAGCACAAAATTTAGGCATTTTCTCCTAAAATACAAAATATTATAATATTAAGATGCTAGTGTATTTAAAAAACATTGATGTACATTAACAAAGAATTAATTTGCAAAACAAATGATATAAGATGCAGCGACGTTAACCTGTACATCACATTGGAAAACATTATTTTTTAAGCATATTCAAACGTTATGGTGCGTTCTACAAATATCTACACAGTCTAGAAACTGTAACAAACTTACCAAACTATAAAAACACAGTTGACACACTCTCAAATTTAAATGAATTCCGAAAATATTAGCATTGACTCTTATGAGAAAACCGGCTAGTTGTCAAACGCTGCCATCTTGACGACCTCGGATAACGTCAGTGTATTTGGCTAATTCACATAAATTTATCATGCCAAGCTGATAGGGCAAGAAAAAGTATTTGCTGTCGTTTTACCTGGGGAAACCGAATCCAAATGTGCGCTTTGTTCATAATCTTTTGGGCAACACATTTTATAGTATAGGAAACTGCAAGCTGGCTAACTCCTATATCTTCGGCGACTCCAGTCTGAAAACCTGGACCGGCTGCATACCGCAAAAAAAATTTCATTTTTGTAAATGAGTCCAGACTGCCGCCTCTTGTTTCATTGCTGGTTCCAAGAAAATGTTCTGCCATCCACATCACATTTTCACTTGTAAAACGATATAATCGAATAAAATCCCGTTCAGGAGGGCTCTGTCTACGTTGTTTATAAGTTTTGCGAGTACGCACTTCGTAGTTGAACATTTTTCACAATTTTTTTAAGTCTTTGCTGTCGTAAGTACGTCAAATAGCATGCTTATATTATAAGTAGATACTAAATTCTGAAATATTTAGTGTTCGCCCTATGGTTTGCACCCTATTAGTTGCGCCGCATGTAGGCAACCAACTACACACGTAGTAAAACTCGCACGAATTCCAATAACTAAATGATCACGGAGCAAGAAGTGCCACGTTTAGGGGTATGTTTGTAATGGGGTGCCGGGCGCGAAGCGCCCTGACTTCACTAAAAACCCGACATTACACGTACGGGTGTTAGTAGTTAATAAATGGGGCTGACGTCACACTTGCTCCGGGTAAATCTTATGGACTTCCGGTCTACTGAAACGGTATCGCTCTCCTTGTCTAACACGTGGCGTTTTTGGATCCCTGTTTGTCGTCTCGCTCTCGCTTATTGTTGTAGTGGCGAGGTGTGTGTGGTGCGCGCGCAGGATGTAAGATGGCGCCACCGCTGTATCGCGCGGCGCTCTATTTTTATATTTATGAAAAAAGGTTTTTTCCTCGTCTTAATGCGGGAATCGAACGTCGTCTGATCTCGTGCTAACCTGACACCTCGACATATGCGACTATCGCAGCGACCCTGAATGGAGCGTATTGTCAATCGTATTTATGTGTGTGTTTGTCTGACCTCGAGTGGAGGAGGGGCCGCCGAGTCGGCCTTTTCCTGCAACCACTGTGTTAGGAAAATCAAGGGAATGACTCATTAAATACGGTCATAATTTATTAATGAAGCAACATATTTCAAATGAGCGTCCCCAAATTTTCTTAACACAAAGGGTGTGGCCGTATACAGGAAGTGTATGTGGTGTTTCTAAATTTCACATGCACCATTTATAATTTCTCATACAAATCAGAGAAAAAAAAAACATCTACAGCCTGACTGCGAAATATGTGTAAAAAAAAATGGGGAATAGCTCACGATACGAGTATGTCACTGTATAAAATTCACGGTTCTAAGTGGTAGCAGTGTCGAGAAAAAATTATTTGAAATTACATATAAATTGTTACACACGCCGCTGGTAGTGTTTCTTGACCTACATAATTACTACAATGAATGGCACACAGCGACGAAGTTTAAGAACCAAAAAACTAGTGCAAAAAGACGATAAAGACAGTCGTGTATCAGTTACTTGCCGTATCTGGGTGTGTTCGGTTGTGTTTGACAATGGTGAATTTTACAAATTCAGAGCGTGCCGACATGGTAATGCTGTATGGGGTGGCGGATGGGAACTCAAGCTTGGCCCGCGAATGTAATAATAATAATGATTTATTTAACGGTTAGACCAGTTACAAAAATGGAAAAATATATAAATAGATAACATAGACCAAGCAAAAAAAAAAACAAAATTAAAAACTAGTTGACAGTGTAGTCCCAATATTGCGCTTGAAAGAAGTGAGAGACACACCCACTATATCAATATCACTATATGCTAACGATAAACGCGATATACGACCAACAGGGCTATAAAATCTATAGCAGGTACGTGAAGAAAATAGGGCAAGCAGGTGGGTATGTGTGCCCCTTCTCTCGGGCACATGCAACTTAAATAATCTCAAAATATCAGGACAAACAATTAAGGAAGACAATATTTTAAATAGAAATATAAAATCAAACATCTTTCTCCTTACCTCTAATTGCAATAAACCCAAATAAGTCACAGTAATTAACATAAACAATATCACATTTAAAGCAAATAAATTTTACAAATCTCCTTTGAATTGACTCAAGCCTATTTACATGAATTCTAAAATAAGGCGACCAAATGACTGTACAGTATTCGAGATTAGATCGTATGAAAGCGTTAAACAACAACAACAATGTACGAATATTAGAGAAATCCGAGCACATCCGTATAATAAAGCCTAACAACTTAGATGTTTTGGACACAACATTATCAATATGGGCATTGAAGTTTAATTTGGAATCAAATATAACACCTAGATCAGAACATAAAGATACTTTTTTTAGGTAAGTATTAGACAAAGAATATTGATAATTAATTGAACAACGTTTTCGGCTAAAAGTAATAAATTTACATTTAGGAATATTCAGTTCCAATTTATTGTACTCACACCACATTTCAAAATTGTATAAATCAGCTTGAAGAGCGAGACAATCATTTAACGACCCTATACACTTACAAATTTTTACATCATCTGCAAAGAGAAGAATCTCAGTACTATGTATTACATTAACAATGTCATTAACAAATAAAGAAAACAACACGGGTCCAAGATGCGAACCCTGTGGAACACCAGAAACAGCTTCTATACATCTGGATTTAATCCCATTAATTAAAACAAATTGCTTACGATTAGACAAATATGATTTCAACCAAGACAAAAGAGGGTCATCAAATCCCAGCCAAGCAAGTTTAGCAATTAATAAATTAACATTTATCCTATCGAAAGCCTTCGACATGTCAGTGTACACACAATCAATTGAATAATCTAACTCCATGCTTTCAATAACATAGTTAGTGAAAACAAACAGATTTGTGACAGTCGAACGACCTTTACAAAACCGTGTTGGTTGTTAAAGATAATATTTTTAACCGCAAAAGATATAATATCAGTGACACAGGATTCAAATACCTTAGCTATAGGAGATCCAATATTAACAGGTCTATAATTTTCAACATCACTACGACTACCAGTTTTGTGAATAGGTGTAATATATGAAATTCTCCAAACTGATGGAACTTTTGATAGGAACAATGAATTATTAAAAAGAATATGTAGAGGAAGACTCAAGCTTTCGGCACATTTTTTAACAAAGATGGAAGGTATGCCATCAGGACTTCTTTTTGTTGAGGATTTCAACGCTCCTATTTTTATCAAGATGTTCTCAATCTCAATAGTAATTACATTTAAATCAACTGGATTAGGACAATTTTGATTGCATGCCCATTTGAAATTTGAGGAATTCTCATGACAATAAACTGATTCAAAATGCGTTGCAAATAAATCAGCAATAGTCTTGGGACAATTTCCCCAAGCATTTTTTAAGAACATGTTTGCTGGTAAGGAAGATAAATCC